CTTTTTGTTTATATTATATAATATATACATAAATATTATATATACATATATTATTATATATAATACATGTATATATTGTTGTATATTATATATAATATACATATAATATAATATGTATAAATAATATATGTATATATTATATTATATATGTATGTATATATAACTATATATATTAGGCTGTATTTGGTAAAATGATTATCATATATATATGTGTGTATGTGTATATAGTCTGTTTAAAAAAAATATAAAGCAAAAATATAACAAATATGTTTGTTCTTACAAAGCAAAATAATGGGACCAGCAGATGGCATAATGGTTACCTTACTGGACTCCCACATGGCTGACCATGGTTTGAGTCCTGGACCTGGTAGCTTGAAACTCATGCCAGGCTCCCAGCCCGGATCACTGTCAGGCACAGGCACACCTAGTGTGTTCAGATCCACATAATCTGAGCTCAGACCTTCCATGTGACTCCATTATTACACAGTGGCAGCGTGTGACAATGTGCCCCACCATGGCTGGGCCAGATTGACTGTTAATTTACAGAGCTGAAAATACTCAGTCTCGGGTCAGCAGATGGCTTGAAGGTTAAGGCACTGGATCACACATGAATGGTTGTGTAGTTTCAGTCCCAGAACAGTGACTTGAAATTCACTCTAGGTTTGTGTGTTTGTCAGACCAAAATCTTAAGAGGAGACTGGAGGAGAAGGGATTGTAGTGTGACCATTCGCCTTGGGGAGTGATTTCTCACTTTCCCTCATGAGTGAGAGAGACAAAGTTATAGGGGGAAGAGAGAGAGAGAAAGATGGGATCCTTATGCTATGATCCAATCCTAGCTTCAACTTGTGCTGATAATAGGCACAGACTTGCCAGGTATACTCAGAGAGGTCTTTGGACACAAATCAGAAACTTGCCCATGTAAAGTGTTATAAAGAAAAAAAAAAGGTAGTAACAATTAGAGCTACTGGATAAGTTTCTTAAAATTATAATAATTGCAAAACTTGGGACCAGCAGATGGTGTGATGGCTACATTGCTGGACTCCCATGAAGCTGACAATGGTTCAAGTTCCAGACCCAGTGGCTTAAACTCATGCTGGGCACATGTGCGTACATACCCAAGATTCCAGTAAGGGGACCAGCAATTAGCGTAATGGCTATGTCGCTGGACTCCCACGTAGTCGACTGCGGTTTGCGTCCCAGACCTGGTGGCTTAAACTCACACCGGGCGCGTGTGAGTGCATGCCCAAGATCCCGAGAGGAGAATGGAGGAGAAAGGATTGTGGTGTGGCCATCCCCTCTGGGGGGGTGATTTCTTGCTTTCTACCTCTCTGTCTCTCTCTGTCTGGCGAGTGCATGCACCCTATAGCAAAAACCTCTCAAAAAAAAAAAATTATTCCAATAGGAGAATGGAGGAGAAGGGATTGTAGCATGGCCATCTCCTTGGAGGGTGATTTTTCGCTTTCTGCTCTCTGTCTTTCTGGCAAGCGCACATGCCCTATAGACAAAAGCCTAGTAATAGTAATTTAATACTAAAATAATAGTAATTGCAAAACTATTGCAAAACTTATTCTGTAGTGTATCCTACATGATGAGGACTAAATAACTGGTTTTATTAATTTATCATAAATATTGAGAAAGCTAATATTCTGAAGCATCTCAGTGAAATATCTTATTCTCTCCACTGCTACACATGCTTTTAGTATTTGTTATAGAAGACTGCTTTTGAAATACAGATACATACACACTAGTATTGTCTTCTATTTTTAGTCTATGCTACTATATGTTTGTACATTTAAAACAATCACAATAAAATTATTTTGCAGATTTCATTAGGCAAAAATTTAAAACATAAAAGAATACATAAGATTTCCAATTTTAGTACCAATTACTCTGTTTATTGATTTATTTATTCCTAAAACAATTGCCAGAATAAGTAGACAGGGACCAGCAGATGAAATAATAGTTACTGTACTGGACTCCCACGTAGTTGACCACGGTTTGAATCCCAGACCCCACGACTTACAGAATAAAACTCATGCTGGGCACATGTGCCTACATGCCCAAATCCTGAGAGGAGACTAGAGGAGAAGGGATTGTGGCATGGCCTTCTCCCTGGGGAGGGGGGGATTTCTCTCTGTTTCTCTCTGTCTTTCTGAGAGCACGGTTACCCTATAGCAAAAATCTCTCTAAAAGAAAATAAAAACAAGTATACAACAAAAATCTCTTACCCTTGGGGCCAGCAGGTGGTATGATGGTTATGGCTCTGGAGTCTCACATGATTAACTGCAGTTTGAGTTCTGAACCTGGCAACTTGCTTTCTCACTTTTCCTCTCTCTCTCTCTCTCTCTCTGACTCTCTCTGGTTAAATTAAGAAATATTAATAATAAATAATAAATAATTCTTAAAAAGTCTTAACCTATATGGTTTTTGTTATATGGTTTGGGGAATAATATATTACATGGCTAATTTTCTTCAAAATAAACTAATAGAACAAAATCTTGTCTGTGATCTTCATTAATGACACATCTTTCTATATCGTCATTTTAATTATGGTTCTTATATGGATTTTAAGTAGTTTCTTCTGTTAAAATATTCAGTCAATTTGATCAATGGCCATAATGTTACCATCAGGAAGAATAAGTCCTGGAGTTCTAATACACAGTAGGAAGCATAGCAATAACAATAGACATGTATATTTCAAATAGATGGAAGAGAATGTTTTGAATATTCTCAGAACACAAGCATGTAAATGCTTATGTTGATGGCTATTCTAATTAGCATAACTTGATCATTATTCAATGTATATATGTATATATGTATCATTAGGTCATTGGGAAAGTCATGATGTATTTCTCTATGCAAAAATATGTCATAACTTTCCAGACAATCCAATAAAATGCCACACTATATCCTATCACTATACATTTTATGTAAATAAATTTTGATTAAAAGATACAGTTTTTCAGAATGAACAAAAATACTCGTTTAGCATAATTAGTATAAGTAGCTCACCAGTTCTGAATCCCAGTATATTTGTGTATTGTGAATGCATTCTCTTTTTATTTCAAGTGTTTCATTTCTCTCTGTATGTTAATTTTAATAATTGAATGCTATTATGCCTATCTTTAAGTATATTTTCAAGAATACTACAATCCTATTGAAGATGAGAAGAAAAACCAACTAATTCTATTATAATATTTAATAATTTTACTACCACAGAATGATGAGTGAAACTAAAAGAGAAAAATATCATGTTGCTATAGGAATCCATACTTCAGGTTCAGAAACACATGGCAAGTTACATCTATAGAACTGCAAAGTATATATACAATC